CAAATCACTGCTACAGCTGAAGCTCGTGTTGGGGATTAATTGCAGAGTTTGGCTCTAAATGGATATACAGACCTACAACAGTGGAGAAAATGAATGGGGAAATACAGATTATGTAGGAAGAAGAGCAAAAAAAAGAAAAAAGCTGCTTTTCTTCCAGTTGGGACCATCAGCAGCAGAACCACAATTACATTACACTATACTGAAGGTCATTTGTGTTTCTGCCTGATCAGCACAACAGGCAGCTGTCATGATTAACACTGTGAGACATGAATACTTGAGTGCTCAGTAGAATTTTAAATAAGGACACATACAAAGTGTTCAAAAGAAAATGTTCTGTAAATGAAACAAGTTGCTGCCTGGACAGGACAAGGGGGAAAATAAAACTTAATGCTTCAATTATTTAACATTTCAAGGAGCAATGTATGTGATATAAATGCCCTTTTTGCATTATTTTAATTCTGTTGATAGGGTGCATACTGAAAAGAAAACAGAACTCATTTGGTGGTATATCTTCTACATTTGTCCACAAACCTTCAGTGAGTCCATCTGCTGTGCATCATAGCATTGCTAAAACACACATGCATTTACATTGGAGTAGAAAGCAGTCCCCTTGAATCAATACTGTTTGTTATTTATTCCTGCTGTCTTACTCTTTGTATTTTACTGCACCATCCGTAATGTTGCTGTGCTTGCACAAGGACAGTAAAGGGCTATTCTATTCTATTCCATTCTTCTCAATGGCCGCTTTTTGCAACTGCAAGTTTTGCACTGAGTGAGCAGAAACAGTCTTCTAAGATGAGTCCATGCCGCCCTACAGGGTCCTTCCTTCTGCCCACCTGACTCTCACTTGGACCTTTCTCAAAGGACTCCATCGGCTGTTGTCGTGTCAACGCTCGTGAACATCTTCCGATGGCTTTCTGGCACTCGAATCGCCTCACGTCAATCGGAGCCTCAATCGGAACTGTCACTGCAAGAGCTGCGTTTGGCTTCAGCGCTTTGCGTGGTTGCTGACCTGAAGTGTATTTGCTGTTGTTGTCGTTCACGTGCTGTCAGTCACTCAATCACCTTTGGCCTCAGGACATTTTATCTGAACAGCAGAGGTGGAAAGACAAAAGTATTCTACTCCAGTAGAAGCACTATTACTCCAACCTCCTAAGGCCCAAACTCTTTCATGGCATGCATTTTTAATTTCTCTTTGCTATTTGAGCTGACTGGGACCTGATGAGTGTAAAAACTAAGAATTACCAGATTTTTTTTATACATGATTTTTGTTTTGTGGAAAAATGAGATCCACAAATGAAGACATTCGTTTTAAATTTCTAGAGAACAGTGGCAGTATAACGTCATCATAAGTGGAAATCAGGCTCTTGTAGAGCAAAATTTAGCATTTTGGTCAAGACAACCCAAAATGTGTTGTCTACATATGTGGACGTCAGGTCCTAAGAGGTTAAGAACAATCAGTGCTCTTATAAATGGGCTTCAGCAAACGGAAAAAGTAGTTTAATTCAACTGTACTCAAAGTATTGCCTTTTTTAAACAGGAGAAGTTGTGGGGGGAGAGCATGTGAATGTCAGATTGGTTGTTTGTGAATTTTATCTGGAAATTTCAGTGTAGGAACTCGGGAATACACATCCATGCAGGACACTTGCAATACTTTGGAAGGTCATTTCAGTGCACGCAATCCCACAAAACTGGGTGTCACAAACCACACAAATGAGGCATCGACTGGATTCCGTAGAGCATCCTTCTTTCTTCTTTTTTTTTCTCTCCTTGCCTCGGAGAGCCGCGGCCGCGGGCTTGGTCTCATGTGCAGGGGTTTCCAGTGGTACCAGGGCTCGCCTCCGTGTGGCTGCAAAGTCACTTAAGCCGTCTACTAGATGTCTACCATGTGAATGCAATGTATCCATCCCTGTGCAAACACACACACACACACACAAATGCAGGGGGAGCCCGGGAGACCCAACCCTATCGGGCTTTCCTCCCCTTGCAGGTAAATATGGGATTGCGTGGACTGAAATGACCTCCCAAAGTATCGGAAGTGTCCTGCATGTCCATGTTTTCCTGAGCTCCGACTGTATTTGCCTTCCTTTGACTAAAAGCAACAACAACCAATCTGAAATCTCATTCCTCTTGTTAGCTGTCTACCATGTTCTACTTCTATGTGCCCCAGTCTGTCGTAATTCCAAAGCCACGGTGACCTGTGAGGGAATACCTATTGTAACCACTGATCTCCCTCTCACACACTTACACACACTTAGACACACAGTTTGCAAAGAGAAGGCAAAGGAAACAAAAACATAACAACAAAAACAACAACAAAAAGCAAATTCAGAGAGTTGACGTTCTTCTGACAACAGTGGGAAGGCAGCGTAACAAACTCTGCCGCATTCATGACAAGTTAGACCAGAGAGTCAAACATCAGACCCAGGGGCCAGAACAGGCCCATCACAGATTCCAGTCTGGCCCACTGAAAACTGAGAAGGGATGCATAAATGTGGGACTTTTCACTGGATTTTTTTCCCGTTCCACAGCTTACAGAGCTCCTCCACATGCCACGCACAGCACACTTGAGTAAAGGGGTCATGAGCAACCAGAACTTTGTCTCTAATGTTGCGCCTGTAGTTTGTGCACTGTGAGCAGAAAGACTGGCGCTTGTGTTGTGTATAAAGAGGCAAATCACAACAACAGTTGCCTGAAGGTGCTTTCTGTTGTAAAGTACAGCCATACAATTATCCAAAGAAAACAGAGACAGCCCCAACAGTCATATTACACCTGTCCCTGATCACCATCACCACCACCTATGAGCGAGTGCTTTGGCGACATGTGGGAAGGGAAAAACTCCCTGTTAATAGGAAGCAAGCTCCAGCAGAAACCGGCTGAGGGAGGGGGAGCATATCCCAAACTATATGCTTTGGACTGGGGAGACAGACACCCTCTCTGCCTTTACCATTGTGCCTAAAACTTGTCTTTTTGACAAACTGGAAGCTGGCCCCACAGAAGAGGGGCCTGTAGGCTCTGCCTCCTTTCTACTTCTACATACATGTGTGACATTTGCAACATGATATTTGAGATAGTCATTCCAGATCATGTGACAATGTGGGACAGCCTCTAAACTGATTAAAATATATAAGTCAATCATTTATTTGGCAATTAAAAAAACAGTATGCTTTAAATATGTCCTTTGAAATTATGACGTTTCTCTTTTTAATTTAATAAGTTAATTTCAGTAGTAACTTACTTCAAATCAGTTATGTTTAGAACATTAATACAATTATGGGAACGATACATTAAGGAGGTTGATTCTTGTTAAGATACTCAAACATTTTTGTTAAGCCCCCTGCATGTGCATTTTTGCACACACATAACATTCAATGTGCATGTGCAGAGTTTGAGATTTAAAAAGCTGTTTGTTTTATCAGTTCTGCTTAAAAGAAGCAAAATTGTACATAATTTAAATTTGGCCAAACTCCCATTCAAGTATTTGAAAGGAAAGGATGTCAAACTTGTACAGACTTCAGTGTCAAGCTGATGTGAACTTCATACTGAGGATTTTTAGTGGTCATGAGAGCCGGATCTCCAAACCACAGACCAAACAACTGTTTTCAGTGGAATTGCCCACAGTGTCCAAGCCAAAAGGTCGGGAGCATTCTGCTTATTTTCTAACGCTCATTGTGCACCATAAATCTGTCACCCAAGCTAATGTATGCAATACAGAGTTCTGCTCCTGAAGGAAAACAGATAAGGTCTGAACTGTAGTTCATGCCATTGTGCACCCACCTACTTTATTTGCCGTACACAAACACAACCTTTGACCTTCACGCACCTTACTCACTAGTCTTGCTGTGACTCCATCTTCTTCCCTGAGATGACGTACAGGCTGTTGTTTTGGCAAGGTGGAGATCGATTATACGTCAAAGATAAGCAAAGGCAAGACTTGCATGGGGAGCTAAACATAGCAGCCGTACTGGTTTAGTGGTTTTTAATCTTGAACATTTGAGCCTCTGAAAATTGTTCCAACTAAAGCAGGAGCAGTGCACCTGGTATATCAAGGTCAGTGTTCAAGGGCAATATGTATGGGCATACATTAACCAAACCTACACAAAAAACTCTACCTTGTGCTTGTCCAATAGAATTTAATTCAATAAGTGCACTAAAACCTGCAGGAAAGCCTACATTACATTTCAATGTAAGACAATCAGTTTTTTATCACATGCAGGCACACAGGCATTAAAAGCGGACTGTTTTAAGTCTTCAAGTACTGCTGGAGGGGACCAAGGATTAAAACTACATAGTTACTAGCACATGTTGCTCTTCAGTGTATTGTCAAATATATTTCATTGTCATTTTATGTTATTATTTATTTTTTCTTTACTAAATGGCATTGTAGACGGTAAAATCACTCCACTTTTCATTTTGATTGAGGAATTTTTAGTCTGTTTTGGGCTTTACAAGCTGTTGTCATGCAAATACGGGGCTTCATGTAAACATATGCTGCAGATGTGTAACGCTAAGGGTTTGTTCAGCACTATAAACACGCGCAAAGCTTGTTATTCCCATCAGAACCCTCCGTGTAACTGCGTGGGTCTCGGTCCATTTGCGTCGCCAGTGCGGTGCAGCTTTAACCGGTCCGTCATGCCTTGCGGTGTCCTAGTTCTGTTCCGATCGTGATTTTCACGTGAGGTCTCCCTCACTGATAGCAGAGCAGCAGATGTCGAAAGCCCCCTTGTAGGATGTCCGATGACTGGACGGACTCGTGTTTACATCCACTCGGTTTCTAGAAGAGGCGGGGATGCGCGCACACCGTTAACTGTGATGCAGGCGCCGATCGGCACAGAATAAACAGGGATCTCCCTCAAGTGGCCCGCATACCATGACGAAGAAAGTACTGGATTTGATCACAGAGAGAAATTCGGTGGCTACAGAACAACAGGAGAGTTCCCAATCGTCTAAGACACAGTGAGCTTCGGCTGGAAAGAGGTATGTTGTCGCGTTTGTTGCACTGGATTGAACGCAGTGAATGCGTCAGTCACGCCAACATTTAAAAGCTGCTGCCCTTTAGACAAGCTTGTAGACTGTTATGGGTTAATAAGTTCACTGTTGGCAGTTTTGTGTTAAAGCCTGTGAGGAGGACAAACGCAGAAGAGAGACTAAAATGACCGATCAACTGCAGTTGCGTAACTTTATTTGACAGATTTATTCACGCCCTTCTCGTCCTCCCTTTCAAAGAAATCTAACCCACATCCTCGGTCAGTGTTCCTGACACAAAATACCAGATCCATGAGGCATCCAGGAAGTGAGTTAGTGGTCAGTGCGTGAGTGGGATCTGTCTGCTGAGCCCTGCAATGCAATTTATAGAGTTGGGCTGTAAGCGCGCACTCAGCAGTGGTTTTTTAATCAGAGTTCCTTCAACTGAGTCATGCAGCTACAGCACACAGGAAGAAGTCCTTGAAGCACACGTGTGGCGGAGGGTAAACTGTTTGTAGTAGGAATACTTTGCTCTGAAAAAAACAGGTAACGGTTAAACCTTTTGAGAAACTTACAGGTATCTTCATTATCAGTGAATCTTGAGCCTTTTTCAGTGTGTCAGTAATTATTATTATTTTTAAACACTCCTGTTATTATTTCTAAAAAGTAGTGCCATATTGCAAATTTTGGTATGATCAGATACCAAGTATTTATACTGATACCGATACTTTTAGCCTATAAAGGCAGCTTATATAGGGATGAGTAGTGGCTCGTGATTTATAAGATCAATCATCATCAGTTTACACATTCTGAATACATTTTAATGATCACTAAATTACTGTGACCTTTACTTTCCACTATACTTACTTAACAAAACACACCTTTCAGCTTTTCATGTATTTTGAAACTGTTTTTTCTTTTCTTTTTTGAAGACCTGCAATGTAAACAGTGGACTAGTATAGATCCAATACCAATACCAGCATTGGTATGGATACTATCAATATTTGGATCAATCTGCCCACATCTACTTAAAAGCGACAATTTTGTCCACGGATTCAGTTTACCATCATAAGACAAAGAAATCCTGACAAAAAAAAAATCTCCCAGTTCACACAAGTTCCCATGCCAGCAAAGCACCAATAATTTTGCATTATTGGTATTCATTCACACTGTGTCTGCAGATGTCAGAACCATGCTACCCAAGTGGGAAGACTCGTAACAGACTTTGCAGTGTAAATCAGTCCAGTTTATCTTTCAGCAGACTCCCCCTCCCAGCACCTTGCGGTCAGTTAAGCTGCAGGTCTTACCGGGTTAAAGGCTTATTGTCTTCAGCAAGCTGATTAGTTTTAACTTTTTAAACTGCAAGAGGGCACTTTGGTCACTCTGCTTCAACATAGTGATTTTTTTTTTCTGTAACAGTAAAAAATAATAACATCCAGTGATACAGCTGAAGTGTGAATGTGAGTACACTGCTTTGTTACCCATGACACCAGCAGTTGTGACAAAAACCTGCAGCTGCCTTTAAATTGTTACCCACAAAGGACTGCATGTTGCATTCATGCGAATACCACTGCTTGCTTAATAACAGGGAACTCTTACACTGTTTATTACACAATAGATGATTGATAGTATCTGATGGCAAAGCTGTTCTCAAGCTTTTCACTCAGCTTATGCAAGCTTTTGCTGAATATGCAGCCATCTCACTGTCTTCAGCTGACAAATTTGATGTGGAGGTAATCTCTAAAAGATGTCAGCATTAAGCAGCACTGGAGGCTAGAAGGTGGAGGTTTCATTTATAGATTGCAATATGCATCATCAGTTTTACGAGGACCGCTGTGTTCTCATGGACTCTTAAAAGCATTACATTATATTAGTATATAAGTAAAAAGAAACAGGCAAGGGGAGTGGGAAATTGGTGTATAATATGAAGGCTGTGTGCCAACTTAAAAGCAGAGTCATGAGTATATTGCTGTATTGAAGGGCCTGTGAACCTCCAGGATGTTCCATCAAGAACAGTGACATCTTGTGTGAGCACAGAGGTCGAAATGTAATTTCATTTAGGGTTTATATTTGGATTACCTGCTGACGTTAGCATTTTAGCCTTCCTGTTGTTCAAAGCAAGAAGATCTTGGGTTTGAATATGGTTGGCTGGTACATTTCTTGCATGAAGTTTGCAAGTTCTACCCGTGATTGCGTGGGTTTCCTCCAACAATCCAAAGACATGCACATTAGCTTAATTGTTCATTCTAAATTGCTAAATTGGATGCAAATGTGGGTCACTGTATGACAGCTGCAGGCTTTAGTCTTTACAACTGTGGCAAGATATTAGTAGGGAAGTTTTAGGTGCCAGAGGGTTGATCATCTGAACATTAGTAACCTTCTGACGTTTAGCTTTGAAAGAGCTAACTAACACAGCTAAAATCTGACCTTTAGATGAGATTATAGCTAACACCTAAAATCTGAGCTAAAGCTATGTGTCTGTGAGTTACATTTGTAGTCTCACAACTAGTTTGGGAGTCATTGTGGATCATTTTAGGCAGCTTACACAATTGTGAAGTAAAAACTCTCAGCAGAAGATATCTTTTATCCAGTGATTTTAGCAAGCTCATAGAGCCTGGACATTTTTATTAGGAGTAATTTTTTAAATTGTATGCAGGCCATTGACCTCTGAACATAGAGGACAGAGCTTATCTGTTTGGCATGACCGCTCCAGCTAAAACTAGACAATATCCACCATAAGGCCAACTCTGAGATGTTCCAGCAAAACTCCACTACATCTCCAACAAGAACCCCCACTGCAGAACACACCTCCACGTTTTCTCGCAGCCCACATTCAAAGGAAACAAAGAGGAAGTGACAGGAAAGCACGGACTGCTTCTTAATTGTTGCAGATTGTGTGGTCTACTTTCCCAGACCGTACCCTCCAATCACTCCGGTCAGCTGTGTAAGGTCGGGACAAAGCCTGAGCTGCGTCACCATGGTGAGGGATTGTTTGCATCCAGTCATGCTGCTGGCCATGTGGACTCACGCATGCACATTACAGCGTGCTCTTTTGTTTGTGCGCCACTTGTTGTTTTTCAGTGGATCCCCTCCAGCTTCCACAACCTCCTTGTTGCGTATCAAAAAAAATGGCAACAGCCGGTTTTTTGAACTGCTTTAAGTCTCATCTACTGAGTGCCATGCCTCCGTTAGTAATTAGATTTTTGACTGACAGTCGTGTTTTAAAAAAAATATGATCGAGTTTTGACTTTTCAAAGCAAATGTGTCGGTTTAATCAGATGTTTGAGGATACACACAGCAACAAGATTGGCACTGAGTCGGTTAAACTATAATTTAGCAAGAGGCTGAGATGGCACAGAGCTGACCAAGGCAGGAAATGAACTATTAACTATTAACTATTATCGAGACTGAAGAAGTCACTTGGATGAGTGACGAAGCGTTTCTCCCACAAAACGCTACGTCCAGATAAACAGAATCAACTTTTGGAGATTAACTATTAGGTTTGTATATTGGATTGAAATTCCACCTTTAAGTCAGTGTGAAATGAAAAGCTTTTAGTTAACATTTCTCAGTCTGTTCCTTCAATGCTCATCCACGGCTTATTAAAGGAGCTTTTAGTTTCATTTTTGTGCTGATCCCTCTCATGAGCTGCTATCCATGTTTGAGGAAATATAAATAAGAAGCCTGGACTTCTCGCGCTGCGTCCCCTCCCTAACTCTGCCTTCCTCTGGCATCCTGAGAATGAAACTTCAGGGGAGGTAGACTGGAGTCATAACTAAGTTTAGCTCAACGGTTCACAGCCCAGACAACACAATATTTTTCATGTCTGAAACCAAATGGCTGTGGCAGAAGTTGTCTGACAGCAAGGATTTGTACTGATAGCTGCAGCCTTTCCTTCCCACAGCAGTCGTTTTCAATCTTTTCAAGCATTTCCTGAGATTATGACTAGCACGAGTGTAACATCTCCTATGCCGAGCATGTTCTGTCTTCGTGGTTCGATCTCCCTTCGGATCATTGTGTTGTTTATATCTGTTTATTCTGTCTCTTATGCAACATGTTTTTTCTGCTCGTTGAAAGAGAATAAGAGACAGAATAAACAGATATAAACAACACAATGACCATGAATGCAAACACAGCAAGCTCCAGTAATACAACTGTTTAAGATAAAAAAACATTAGAAACTCTAACAATAAGTAGAAAGCATATTATATGTAGCATCAGAAATAGATCTAAAGAAAAGCACAGTTATTTCAGTGTTTAGTCATAAAACAGGTCAAATAAATAAATTCCACAGTAGTTAAACGCTAAAAAAAAAAGGAAAGAAACCATATTTTGGATTTCTCTGAGCCAACAGTAGAAAATCACGTGTTAATGTGACACAACTCTAACAGTATACAGACACAGTAAAAACGTACATTCTTTTTCAGTTCTAAGGTTTTACATATCGGGACATCATTACGAATAAATAAATAAATAAATAAATGCAGACCCAGGACACGCTGGAGAGATTATATCTCTTGGCTGGATTGGGAATGCCTTCAAGTTCCCCCGGACAAGCTGGAGGAGGTGGCTGAGAAGATGGAGGTCTGGGCTTCTGTGCTTAGGCTCTGCCCCCGCGACCCCAGCCCCGGATAAGCGGAAGAAGATGGATGGATGGAATAAATGGATGACGAGTGTGTGGAAGAACTAAGTACACACCGTCATTTAGTAGCTTGTGGAAGCAGGTTTAGCACCACTAACTTGAAGTAATTGTTTCCTGATTCACTTTATCAGTCGCTCACATCATTGTGGAGGAATTTTGCACCACTCTTCTTTACAACAGTGACTAATGCACGAATCTCTTAAGGTCCATTTCAATAAGGCTCAGATCTGGGCATTGCAACACCTTGATTCCTTCTTAGCTATGCTGTTGTAGATTTGCTGCTGTGCTGTCGCCCAGATGGCCTCACATTAGACCCTTGAATACTTTGGCATTCATGGTCAACTCAATGACTGCAAGGTGCCCAGGTCCTGTGGCTGCAAAACACACCCAAATTATCAGCCATCATCCACCATGCTTGACAGTGGGTATGAGTTGTTAGTGTCTCGTTTTCTCCAAACGTGGACATCTCTTCTGTATATGTCAGCGGTCCCCAACCCCCGGGCCATGGACCGGTACCGTTCCATGAGTCGTTTGGTACCGGGTCGCAAGAGTTGAGGCTCGGGTGTGAAATTTATGGTTGTCATGGTTTTTATCGGTTTTTAG